TTGGGAACAACAAATAAAATATAGGTATACATTTCTTCTGCCTTGGGGAAATATGTTGTCAAAATATTTAGAATATTTTATCAGAGAATTCTATGGACAATGATTACTGAAACCTTGATTTTTATTCCCTGCATGTGCTGTTTAACAAATAAGACTCTTGTCTAAGTTCTAGCAAAGATGTTGCAGCTGCAGTTTTCTTTTCTGCCTTTTCTTGTCTTTGTGAAGATAAGTCATTATCACTCTGTCAGAGTAAAACAGAGAGGTAAACTTTCTCACCTTTGGCATTTCTTGTCATTGTCAAACTAAATACTTGCATCCGTGCAACTTAAATATGAAATGATGTCTTCCCTTTTTTTAGAACCAACAAATGCTAACAATAGGAAGCTGGGATCTGAAAAGAAAACAAACAATTAAGATGACACTTATGCTAAAAATTCTGTATCACTCAGAAAATGAGAGCTCCCAACCCTGAAGATTCAGTCTGCACCTTTACAAAGGAGCTTTTTGAGGTTATGTGGTTATGATAAAAGTGACTGTGACATTCCTGTTACTGAGTTGCTAAGACAGATAGTACTAAATAATCTCTTAGCTCCCTGAAAGTGCTAAATGCAGAACTAAAGCAAAAAAACCCCTAACAGTTGCTACCATGGGCTGCCCATTCAAAACCTGTTAGAAGAATCATTAGGGTTTCTGCATCAAAATTTACTGAAAGGATGTCTTGAGATGTGGGTGTATTGAGAAAGAAAACACCTGGAGTGAGGAGATCTGTCTTCACCAAGGAGGACTTCAGGACACTGATGGAAAAAAGTACGTTAGAAGCTTGTGGCTTAACAGTGAGGATCATTAGGAGGTTCTAAGTAGATCACTGGGGCTGGCTTAAATAAAAGCAGCAATATCTAAGTAATATCATAGGAAATAAGGTTGTGCACCAGTCTGAGAACATGAATCATGATACCTCATGCTGGAAGTGCTTCATACTCAGATTCTTACATCATTACAGCAAATAATGGTTGCTGTAATAATATGTTCTGCAAGTCTTCCATACGAAGATCTGTTTAAATGTTCTCCATTTTAATGCCTCAAGGAAAACTTTGTTTTAGCTGTATATTGCCAGAAACAAAAGCTGCTTAATCCTGTTTGGTGTCTCTGAACACTGCTGTGGTAAAAATAACTGGTACATGTTTACAGATTGCTTTTTACATTCATTAAGACAAATTAAATCAAGTTCCATTGTACACTGAGTCAAAGAAAACCTGGAGTAATACCTCGAGCTCTTCCATTTTTACACATATCAAAGAAAAACTTTGGCAATACCACTCAGGCTGTCCTGCTTGTTCAAATGACTGGCAAAGAAGCAGTAGTGGCTGATCTGATTGTAATAGGCGAACACTTTACAGATAGAGATAAATCACAAGAGAGCTCCTTACTGAAATATCTTGTCCCAGTATTGTCAAGAGCAAAATGCTGCTATAGGTGTCTCAAGAACAAAGATGGTTTACCAGCTGGTTTGGCTTATTTTCCCTTTCAGAGTGATGTGGTTTTTTTCCTGTCATAGACATGTGGCAGGCTGTTTTCTACTGACCCTCAAAGCTGCTCCAGACTCCTTGTGCAGTGTCTTCAGCCCATAAGTAGCTTCTCTGCTACCACCATCCCAGGTCTTTGTAACTCATCAGACAGCAATGCTAGAAATATGCCAAGAAGCCACTGTTGTTTCTCAGCCATCCTTTGTAAACCGTGCGATCACTTTGGTAGAAATGAGTCGCAGCTCCTTGCGAGTCCCTTGTGCACAGCTGGCACAAGCTGCATCAGGGACAGACCCCATACAGAGGGATGTACTAGGGTTTGACAGCACCGATGCCTTCACCTGGGTTACAGGCATTTTTGCCTTATTAAGAATTCAGGGGTCCAGATACCCTGTAGACTTTCCCTGGTGTGCATTTAGCCCAGTTTGAAGAAAGAGAAAGCTAGGCATCCCCTGGCCTGGCCAGCTGAAGTCAGATGGGAATCACAGACCTGCTCTAAGTCACCAAACAAACAAATAAAAAAAATCTAGTGGGAATTGCCATTTGTATTTTACATATTCTGTGTTGTCAATGGTAGAATTACATTTGTGCTTTTTGTAGCAGTGCTACACAGTGAACTTGCATCTGATTAGAGATTCCCTCAGTCCTTCTGCATGAGGGGATATTTGTTTCACGTGTTTCAATTAACGTAGGAAAGAGAACATCTTGCAGCAGCTAGAAAGGATTACTTTTATTTTTTATTGACAATGTTCAGATGGAGCTCAACCAGTTTAACAGGCGATAAACGCTCCATTGCACAAAGCTACCGCTCCACCTGGTGGGCACACGGCGGCTCTGAGGAGCGCGGGGAGCCTCGGCCGGCGCCGCTCCGGCCGCAGAGACCCCGCCTGCGACCCGAGCAATTCAACCCACAGGCTTTCCCCCGCCCATCGCAGCCCCGTGTCGGGGCACCTCCG